TGGCCAACATTATATCGGTAATCCCATGACTATTAAAAATTCATGTAATGTTTTACATTATGGAGTGAAATATTATTTTGGTCTAAATTATTTGATTTCTTTCAAACTCTCTATAAATCAATTTCGATATTTGCTTATGGCTTCCTCATTCGGGTTATTGGATCTATTATGAAAACTGAAAGAATATAACATTTGTATCACTCTGATTCAAACTATCTTAGAGTAAAAGAGTCAATTTCGAGTATTACTAGAAATCATATAGATTTTAGAGTGAGAATGAAAGTGAGTAGCTATAGACTTTTTCAGTGGATTACCTTTGACTATGTCCAAGTAGATTCAATTTGTGTTTTATCGATAATCTTGACTAGTCGGTTCATTTTATTTCGAATTAAACTAATTATATTCCAGATAACAAACTTGATTGTTTACTTCTAAGATTGTCCGTCTTTGTGACGTTCCCTTATCCGTAATTTTTACTGAGATTTGAGATTTATGTTAGGATTGTTTTGAATATTCTTGAGGTTCTATATACGCAATTAAAACTTTAATACAACTTATTATCTGCATTCTGATGATCTGTTGGAGCGGGTTATTTAGATTCTGAAAAAAAGGTTGAAAGGTTACATTATAGGATTCTGAGATAGTGGGTGGATTGTTTACTATTGGCTGAGTGTGCTTATAATAATAGTTACTAGACCAATATTTAGATAACATTGTATGAGACCTTGTATAGTCATAGATATTGTATTATACTATGTTAACTGAGTTATATGAGAGGAGGATTGTGAGATCTAACATTGTACAAGCTTTTTTTGACAAAGATCTTTTATGATCGGAAAAAATGATATAGAGTTTTCTATGGGTGATCGATTCTTTTAGGGATAACTCCTTTGAAGAATGTACTTAGATTTGGAGGCCACCTAGGAGATTCAACAATATATAGAGGAGCAATTCCCTCATCTGTTTCTATCAGGTAAAATTTCGGTACCGAAATTTCTTAGGGAGAAAGTTGTCACATTCCAATTTTTAGGGGATACTTTTGGTTGTTTTTAAAATTTCAATACTATTTTGGAATTCTTAAAATGTGAAGACTTATAGTTTAATTTACAAAAAAACTAGGTTGTTTTAAAAAAACCTTATTCCTTCACATTTTCCCTGTTTGTGCCTACAAGCCTTAATCGTTTTATTTAGCTTTTATTTTATCCTTTTTGGTTTCGTTTTGTTATTACTCGATTCATCATTATCCATGTCATCGTGAGTCATATTCGACACCATTTTGCTTGTACCATCCTTGTCAATCGTCCAGTGGTTTTGGTGTGTCCACCGTCATTAGCGTTAGCTTTTTTTGGTGAGGGAAAGTTTTGAGTTTCATTAAAAAACTCTAAATCCAACGTTCTTCATAAATTGTCCTCAATAAGTAATTCTTCGTGCCTTAGAATATTTTTGCATTTTTGGGTAATTTTTCAACCGTTGTAGAGTGCTCAACTCTTTCCTACACGTCACGTACGCATGTGGGATTATTTCAGGCAATAAACTGGTTTGACTAAACGGACCGATCTAACTGAATCGATCTGATCTCTTGGACTGGTCTGACTCAATCGATTTTGATCAAACCAAACCCTGACCCAAATCAAACTATTGACCATTGACTTTGACCATTGACTTTTTCTGTTGATTGTTACCACTATGTTTTTGATGTCATGAGTTCGTTTTTTGTGTCATTTATCATTTAAAGTCTTAATTATGTTAAGTAAATTGTGTGATTTTGAAGAAACCTTTTGGTGTTATAGTCTGAAAGTGCTCTCATATCTCCGCACCGCTCGTAAATCCTGAACTTTCTCCCACAATTCAATTTGATTCTTCTCGTTCGTCTTGAGATACGCTTAAACATTATTTAATGACTCAATAGTGTGTTTCTACTTAGATAAATGATTTCCGTACTTATACAGTAGTGTGTCATTATTAGGTCCCAAGGCAGGACCTAGTATTACCGATCATGGGAAACGTAGAGTAGTTGACATCGATTAGTTACTATATGTGTATCCCTTTGACTTGTTCGATGCATTTAATATTTTATGTTATTGTACGACATGTTGCTATTAGAATGCTTGTTGTCTGATTATATTTATCTGAAATATGTCTAATTTTTTTAATATTGCATCACTATTAATTTATATTGGTGCATTTCTGTCATTCTGCATGGGATCCTCTACGGAGGGCATAATCCCTATCCTAATTCTACATGAGATCTATGGAGGGCATAATCCCTATCCTAATTCTATATGAGTTCCTCTAGGGAGGCATAATCCCCTTCTTAATTCTGCATGTGATCCTCTACGGGAGCATAATCTCCATCCCGTTCTGTTATGGTATCATCTATGAATTGCATAATCCCGTCCCGATTGTATGGGATCCTCCACGGAGGGTAATATCATCTTGATTCTACATGGGATCGATCATCTACAAGGGTATAACCCTATCCTATTTCTGCATGTGATTCTCTACGGAGGTAAAATCTCTAACCTATTTCTATTTAGGACCCTCTTTGGACGGCTATATCCCATTCTGATTTCTTTTTCTGCTGGGATCCTCTATGGAGGACGATATCCCTATCTTGTTTCTAACTTGGATCCTCTACAGAGGGCTAAAATCCTATTGCCATTATGAATTCTGTATTCATTTTGGGCACCTCTTTGTAAGGTGTCGTTCATGTCCCATTAATCCGAAACGAAATGTAAGATTATTAATTTTAGTTATGATATTCTGCTGGTAAAATATCTGAATTTTAATATTGTGTGATTATTATTTTGTATTACTTTAAGCTTGAATTTTCTACGTTTTAATATTATCTGATTAAATCTAGAGGATACATTGAGCTTTGTAGCTCACTCTATTTTGTCTTCCTTTTCAGATTATTTAGTTATGGGACCCGTTGGCTAACAAAAGTGTAGTCGATTGTTTACTATATGAGGTTTAATATCTATTTTCAATGTGGTATGAATTTATTTCTGATAATATATTTGATAAATATTTTAAAACAATTATTTAAAAAAATTGTTCGTGGATCATTTTTTGTGATCTACATGGTCACCCCGATTTGGTTGTAACTCCTAGGCTGAGTTTAAGAGGTTAAATTGTCACTCTTTCATGACGAGTTTTCGTGTACCGTAGAAATATTCTAGATTCTAAAATAATTTTCAAACACCCTGTTTTTCATTTCTCCTGCCTAATATTTCCAAAATTTAAATCATGAATTTGCTTATCATTGCAATATAATATTAATAATATTAAAAATAAATTCAGTAGATATTAAATTAAGTCAAGCTCTCATTTCTTTATTACATAATGTAAAAAATATAATGTTTAATTAAATAATTTTTTAATTTTTTGGAGTACTTTGGCCTAATATTTTTAGGGGAAAATACCTCTTCATAGATGAGAATAGTTACTCAAAAAACGCTCTAAAAATAGAATATTTTATTATAAATGAAATGTTGAAGGTTAAAATCTTCAAAAAGAAAGAATAAAAACTAAAATTAATCAAATTTTAGAGATATTTTTGCTATAAAATGAATATTGAGTTACTATTCTAAAACAAAAAACAATTAGCTGACCTTTTTCTCTATGTAATGAGGTGAGGGGGAGGTAGGATAGTAGGTTGTCCCCCAACGCCAGGTTGAGAACAGCTTCCGGGGAGACCTCCGAAATTATGAATTGTCCACCGTAGGACTCGATCCCATATTCTAAACAAAAGTTATAGTTAAAATGATTATTTAAATATTAGATACATTTTTTATTATATTCTTTATTATCTAACTAGTCAAATTAAACCTACTTCCAATAAGATCTTAATATCAATCTCAAGCCCAAGCAAAGTAAAAGTCCAACAGACCCATTGCCTGAACCAACCAAGGTCCAAATTGAACTGGGTCAATCCAACCCAAGCAATCCGGCAATTTTGACCCATTATGACAGCCCAGAATTCTTTTTTTAGGAAATTAGAGCACTTTGACTTTTTAATTTGAGATCTACGGCGGTTGCTACAGTAATTAATTCGTTAAATACTATAGCAAATATCAATCTCAAGCCCAAGCAAAGTAAAAGTCCAACAGACCCATTGCCTGAACCAACCAAGGTCCAAATTGAACTGGGTCAATCCAAACCCAAGCAATCCGGCCAATTTTGACCCATTATGACAGCCCAGAATTCTTTTTTAGGAAATTAGAGCACTTTGACTTTTAATTTGAGATCTACGGCGGTTGCTACAGTAATTAATTCGTTAAATACTATAGCAAATGTGGTACAACTCAAATTAAAAATTCATGCGACCTAGAACCCTAATATTTTTTTCTCAAAGTACGGTATTGAGCCAATTTCGCCGGTAATCCGTATCCATCAGCCCCGTTTTGACCCAACAATTTCATGACCGAAATAGATTGCAAGGGGAAGTACGAGGAAGAATGCAACGCGGAAATGAGGAAAAATTTCATTTGGATTGGACAAATTAAGCGTCGATGAATGTAAAAAACATGCTCGGGGTCCGTCGGTAAACCCGAACCCGGCAAGGTTTCCCTTGATTACGTAAAGATCAGAGAACCAAGTTTGTCGTAAAGAGATGTCGTTTAGAATGCATATATTTACATACACACTGTAAGCATATTGGAGAAGTGATTAATGGTTATATCCTTGAGCCACCGCATTGTTGATCCCGAACGGGTTTACCGACGGATCCCGATCCACGTTCAATGGGATGACCTTCATTGGACGGAAGCGATGCATAAGGAAATAACCCAACTGTTCCTCCATGGAGACTTCTGCAAACCATCTTTTTATGATATAATTAGTAGGCAAAGAAACGTACGTACATAGATAATCGTCCACTCTTTAATAGATTTTCACTAGTGTTAATGTATACAACTTTGTCAATTATAAATTAAGATGTAACATTTCTTTCAATACAAGAAAGATAGTAACTTAAGAATCAAGAAAGGATCATAAGTTTTAAGATCGAACTCCACACGTAAAATTCATGAACCAACTAGACTAAATCCGGGTTCTATTCCCATCTAACTTTGCATGTATCTAAAACCAGTAAGCCTGTGTTACAGTTGTTTTCATTCCGAATATACATACTTCGATTTGAATGACTGATATTATCATCATACACCATAATATATCAGCTGGCTGAGCTTCAAAATCATCTTGCAGACGGGGCAAGGCTGCCATTTGAGAAATCGGGGCTCTCAATTTCAAGAAAGCTTGCAAGTAAAGTTTTCCTGGAAGATTGTCCCTTGGAACTACCACAAGCTAACTTTGCATTGCCTTCTTCCCCTTTCTCTATCTTCATTGCATCTTGTATGGCCAAAATGATCTCCTGCATCTTGGGGCGGGAGTATCCGCGTTGTTCGACACATTGGATAGCCACTTCAGCAATCCTCCAGATCGACTCAATCTTCACATTTCCTACCAGAAATGGATCTACAATGCTTATTACGTCGCCTTTGCATATTAAGGATCTTGCCTGCAAAAAAAATGTTGAGCAGATCAGGTTGTTGTGCTCCGATTCGGCACTGTTGCTAAGAAACGGATGAAAGTTCAAGAGAAATGTACCCAGTGAACAATGTTAAGTTCAGGACCAAAATTTTCTACGGATACTGGTTTCTTTCCGGAGATAAGCTCCAGAAGAACAACCCCGAAACTATAAACATCACTCTTTTCAGTCAGTTGTTGACTTGCATAGTACCTGTTACAACATATAGATGATTGGCTAAGCACATGAAGAATTCTTTGTTTAATAAACTATTCATGGATTGTAATCCTATATAGCTTACTCGGGATCGAGGTAACCAACTGTTCCTCGTGCCACACTCGATACATGGGTTAAATCTTCCTCAGCTTGTCTCGAAAGTCCGAAGTCGGACACTTTTGCTCTCATGTTAATGTCTAGAAGAATGTTGCTTGTTTTTACATCTCGGTGAATTATACTCGGATTGCAGCCAGTGTGCAAGTATTCAAGGCCTGCAGAAATCCAAATTTACGTTTATTCTTTCAAAAAAAAACTAAATATCGATGCATCAATTATTGTGAGCTTCAATACTAAACCTTTAGCTGCATCTTCTGCAATCCGTAATCGAGTAAGCCAATCCAACGGCTTCTGGTTGACTGAACCTGCCATAATGTCCTTAGGTTGTTATTCTTTTAACCACAGTCAACTTCTGCAAAAGAGAAAGATGGACAATAAACAGAATTGATTTTTTGGTACAGAAGCAAACCATGTATATGATCCCTCAAAGTTCCATTGTGCATATATTCGTAAACTAGTATCCGTTGATGAGCTTCTTCGCAGTATCCAATTAGAGGAACCAAGTTTCTATGATGAATCCTTGATAAGAGGGCAACCTGAAAGCATGCATCAGTCATCGATACACAACCATGTAGTGAGGTAAATTCAAGGTTATTCACATAGTACCGGTATTGGTGGTATCGGCCTATGTACCGGTTTCGAGAACAAGAATAAACTAATTATGGATCCTTCCAAGTGGATTGCACTCAGTAACATTGTCAAGAAAGTTACAAGAGCCTAGTTAAATGGGATTATGGGACACTACCTCAGTCACAAATTGCTTATTCAAATGGCTAGATGAATCACTCATCGTCTTGACAGCAACCTCCTTTCCATCTCTCATTTTGCCATAGTAAACAGATCCAAAACTTCCTTGACCAATCTTTTTGGTAAAATTGTTAGTTGCTTCTTCTATATCAGAGAGTGAGATACAGTACGCCAAGCCTTCGTCCAGTAAATGCCCGCCCCGTGCTATTGAGCAGGCTGTTGATTGTTTGGGGTCAGATTGTAGGTTACCTGATAGAAAAACAAGAATCATCATAGAACTACTAAGGACTGCACATTGCATAAATGATAAACAATTAGTAATTTAAGCGCTCAAACCGTTTTCATCGCATTTTCGGGGAGACGTCTTCCTTCGGATATTGCGCAACAATATCAAACTTGCCAAGAAAAGAATTAACAAGCTGCAAGCACTCCAATTGAGGCCCCAACTATCAACTTGAAATGCAGTTTCCTCTGCGCCTCGTTACGTAGTCCAGGATTACCTTCATAGCTACAACAGAAATACATACATACATACATACAAGCTGTTTATAAAATTTATGTATAGGAACACATAGAGCTTAAGATGTAATGCACTACAACGTACTCACTTGAAATTTATTTTCTTGCTTAGCAGTGCTGTAGGAATTTCCCCATAAAACGAGTTGTTCTCTATGTACCTGAAACATATAGATATATCATGGGCAAAAGAAAAGCCTAAATTATCTGCTTCTTATAGCATTTTGTTAAAAACAAACCATCTATTTCTGTTTAATGATATGGAAAGAAGAGATAAGAAATCAAGATTTCTACTTACAATGCTTGCAAGTTAGGCAAACGACCGAGGTATGAAGGTAGTGAACCGTTAAGTTTATTGTTCTCCAGATGTCTGCAAGCACCGGTAAAGGATGTGAGTTAGGACAAGCTCTCAAGAGAATGAGTCCCAAAGTGAAATGTAATATCCTGAATTCCTATGGAAATTTAATACAAATATGTATAGCTTACACAATTTTCAGACTGATAAGGCTACTCATATCAGGGAGTGGCCCTGTTAAGGAGTTGGAGTCCAACCACCTACAGAAGATGGGAGGTTCAGTGGACGGTGATACGAAAAATTAGCGAAGATTATGTTTTCGATACTTACAACTCGATCAATCCCTCCATGTGATTAATCTCAGATGGAATTTGGCCCTTCAGATTCTGTCCTGACAGTGCACTGTTCATTAGGTTAAAAAAACCATCAAATTCTATGAACAATAGAGTAACCATTCTAAAAAGAACTTAACAAGGTTGTTTTAATATAATTATGAAATGAACAAGAAATTTACCAAGTTCAAATGCATTACATTTTTGTTATTCTTGGTGGTGGTGGGCTGCAATTTACCCATGTCCAGGGTAGGAACACAAGGATCACCTCCTTCGTTCGCCCAAACGCTTTCGGGAGCCATATTCCGAATGGCGTCGAGAGCGTTCACTGATAAATCGAGAAACGAATGAGTTTTCATTTCACTGAGCCAATCAAATTCCTTGAACATACACACTGATGTGCAATATGATGAAATTATATAAAATGGCCATCTTACCATCTCGCCTGTCGGTTTTTGCAGCAATCTGCTGGTATTTGCTTATCTCAATTGCATTAAGGAGTGGCCCTCTAGTAGAATCATTCACCTTGGAAAAGGTGAATGACAGAACAAAATCGAGACTGACGTTCATGTAACTCGGTTCATAAAGAGTGTAGCTCCCATTGGCATTCTCAGCTATGTTTACCACAGCATTGCTATAATCAGGGATGTAAGGCTCTCGCAGTCTGAATTTCCTGGTTTCATTCGGAGCCAAATCTTCGATTTCAGCGAAGTATGCATAGGCTCGAGCGTTGGCGGGGAAGCCTTCGAGGTTTAATCTGTAGCTAAGCTCTCCTTCGGTGCCAACAACTGCCGTTTGCATCACTTTAACAGGCGGATATTCTCTGGTTCTTATATCAACGTTCTTTGACGTATTGATTCGTTCAGACCCAGGTGCAGCTCCTACAAGAAAATTCTGCCTCCTATTGAGATCTGACTCCCAAAATCTGTCATACGGATCATCTGGGTACCTATAAATCCGATTCGGTTTAACACAAATATCCATCAAGTAGCTTGCAACTGAAGCAAAACATCAAACGGTTATCAAATACCATATCAGATCATACTTTACCTCACTATATCCTTAGTTAAAGAACCAAAGTTCACTCTAGATGCAACATTCAAGAAGAAATCGTCCTCAAAATCCGTAGCATACATGGAAAGATTCAAGGGGCGAAGCTCAAGAGTAGAAATGAAAGGAAAACCAGTAGTAGCACAGCATATGCAGACATAAATAGAATCTGAGGGAGCCCTTATGATCATCTCATTCACATATGTTCTTGAGCCATCTTGAATCGTCACGGTCGCCCACTCAGTTGCATCCAAGTAGAGCTCGAATTTCGGGTATGCATCACCATTTCCGGGGCTTCCATACTGAAATGTTGCACGAACAAGGTACCTTCTTCTCTCCTTGGTGCTCAAATTGTAACAGTACTTATTGTTGTCCGAAGGGAAGTCCCTCCGAGTTTGATGCTGCATCGAGTTCCCATTCGGATTCTCGACCGTCACTCGTGTCCCGTGTTTCATCATATCCATGTCCGAAGTCCATGAAAGCTCAGTACTCGGGTCAGTGTAATTACTTGTGCTTCCACAATCTATACTGATAAACTCTGCAGGTCACAATTTTCATGCTTAATATGCATAAATTCATATAACTATACAATCATATACATGACGAACAATCATGGAACCCCATGAATTTAGAGATTTAGCAACAAAAAAACATACCTGAAACTTGGGATACAACAGAGAATATAAAGTAGAAATACAGTAGAAATAACTGTGTAAATAAAGCCATTGAAGATCAACAAGGCAAAACTGATTCTTTTGATGTTTTATTTTTTACTTATAATTTTTTCTGTAAATGATAAAGAAAATTCTGGGTTTTTAGTTCAGCATCTAGCCCATCTTTACTCCACTAACCTTTCACTGATTGATGAGTTTATCATTTTATGCAATGTACGTTCATCTCTCTCTCTCTCTCTCTCTTTCTTTATTCTTTTTATTTTCCATTTCTTTTAAATTTTGGAATCTCCTTTTCCGAAGAGTTAAAGATTTTCAGCTTACTTTTCAGAAAAATTTTATATTCCGAATAAAAGTGCGACGTTAACAAAAACTAGAAATAAAGGATTAAATAAACAAACATTAATTATAAATATTGTAAGTATACAAAAATATATCTTAATAATTGAATTTAATTTTTTTAATAGAAACCACTAATTTTAGTAGAAAGAGAGAATATTTAAAATTACAACAAAAAAATAACAATCGTAAATTAAATATGTAATAATATTTTTCTATAACCATTAATACAAAAAAGTCATTTTGGATTATACAAATATCATATAAGAAAAATGTTAAAAATCTAAATAAAAATTTAAACAAAAGATAGATACGAAAAAGTTTAATTGTATCGATAAACGAACTATAAAATACTATCAAATTACTGAAAGACTATAGACAAATAATAAATCAAAACCGAATGATGTGAAAAAATCATCCACAAACACAAACTATATATCCAAATATAATATGAATGTTAAAATAAAGAACATAAATATGATGACAAATAATCATTACTTTTATTCATTTGATGTATTAAATTTAATAATAAAAGAATACTAAAAGGGAATTAGAATCTGTGAAGGAATTAAAATCTGTCAGGAATTGGAATCCAATTTCATATTCTGTTTGGTTGGCAGGAAATGGAATTGGAATCCAATTCCATATTCTGTTTGGTTCGTAGACATGTCAGATGAATTTGTTTCAGTAATGTAAGATGACAGAATTGTCTTTCTTGTTTTTTTGCTTTATTTTAGTTTGTTTTGCAACTTACATGTAGTAATATATCATAAAAATTAAAAAAATATTAAATTTTCATTTTATTGATTGATATTCATTTCAATAATTATAAAAATCATGCTAATAAACATCATAAGTTAAAATCATCGCAATCAAATATGTTAATAAGTTACCAAATATAGAACAATATTTCGATACATTCCAATCGGAATATGTTAATTAGTTACCAAAAAATGTACCAAAAACTATTTTATTTAATATATGAATTAGAAACCCACCCGACATGAAATAAAAAAATTATTTTTATTCAATAAAAACATTGACTTAATTGAAAAATTTATATAAAGGGGTATTATTGTAATTATTCCTAAATATATAAGGTAAAATTATATATTTTTCGGTCGGGTCCGGTTTTTTTCACCCTAAACCCAAACCCGACCCGACCCGAATATCACACTTAAAAAAACCGACCCGACCCGAATATATGAATTAGAAATCCGACCCGAAATAATAAAAAAATATTTTTCAATAAAACAGTGACTTAATTGAAAAAAATTATATATAGAGGGGTATTATTGTAATTATTCCTAATATATATAAGGTAAAATTGTATATATTTTCGGGTCGGGTATTTTTCACCCTAAACCCGAACTCGACCCGACCCGAATATCACACTTAAAAAAATAGACCCGACCCGACCCGAATATATGAATTAGAACCCGACCTGAAATAATAATAAAATATTTTTATTCAATATATGAATAATTACCAAAAGATTGATGAGGGTAGTATGGTCAAATTTCAATTCCCTCTAACAAGGAAGTTGAATTTCATCCACCCTCGTTTAATGAAAAGTTGAAGCCATGAGATATTCCAATTCCCTTAGAAAACTTGAACTAAATATAAGAAAGTGGTGGAATTAGATTCCAATTCTCATCAAGTCTAAGAGATTCATGCCAACCAAACACCAACTGAGTCTTCTTAAATAAATGTTCTTTCCAATTCCAGATTTTATATCAAATAATTCGCGTTCGATCATTCGTTATTATTATAACTTTATAAGCTTGATTGACGTTCTACTAATTATGTTTTAATATTTTTTTTTACCAATTAAACAAATTAAGGTTAAACCTTGTTGTTTTCTCCCTTTTTTTTCCTCTCTTTCACTCTTCTTTTCTCTTTCAAATTTATGTAAATTTTATAGATCATATTAATTTTCTTCTTTGATTTTATTTAACCGATGGCGAGATCGATTTGATATTGGTTGGCAACCACAAGTTGTTTTTTTAAGTTTTTAATAAGAATTATTATGTCTTTGTGACATGTTTATTTCTGTCTTTATGACACATTTTTCTCTGTCTTTAGGTAAATTTTAGTTGTTTGGTTGTTTATTTTTTTCAGGATTAGATTTGGCATCGCCACGACTGATCAAGATGACGTTTATTTGTTATCATGCTAATCTTTTTTCTTTGGATCCTCGATTGATTTGAATATACGTTTAGCGTTAGTGGATAGTTTTTTCACGTCGTTTGATTCTGATTTACGATTTATCGATAATCTTTTAATAGCTTTATCCCTTTTGTAGTTCGTTTGCATATGCATTTAGATTTATTTGAATCTTTATTTTGTTCGAGCATTGGTTAGGTTTTTTAACCATTTCTTTGGTCTTTGTGTGATTTAGGTGACTAGTTTTTGTATCAATGATTATAGAAAATGTCATTATTATAATTTAGTTTACATTTACGGTTACGCTTATAAATCTCCATATATTTTTTTCTTAATAAGACTAGTAGCTTTCTATACAAAAATTATGTTTTAATATCGTATTTTTTATATTAATTTCATTTATTTATACATATAGTAGCGGTTTCGTATATATTTTGACGTGATATCTGGTAATTATAAAAGAAAAATCATGTTGTATTTATTTTACTATTTATCGTGTGACTGAGCTGGACAGGGATTGGAGAAAGAAGGTTGGCCATGCAAAAAACATGTACGTCTTATGAGAAAGCAATATAATGCGACACACTATTAAAATACATTGAGATACGATAAGCCAATCTATCAAAATTTACGTGTATTAATTACAAAATTATTAATTTATCATAATTTAAATAACATATTTTAAACTAATAATTAGTAAATTTTATTAAATTAAAAAGGTTTAAAAATTAAAAAATATATATAAAAATAAGAGTAAACTAATCGCGTAAGTTAAATATTTTTTTAAATTATTAAAGTATACAAACTAGATAATTAAGAATAAAAAATATCAACAAAATAAAATATTAAAAACAGAGTCGACTATTAGGGAGCCTGACTTTTCATCTTTGTAATTAAGGCCTCCATTTTTTTCATCTTCGAAATTATGTCTCTAACTTTTTAAATTTAATTTTTTTACCTTTATAATTAAGGTACTAATTTTATACAATCTCACTTTTATATTTAATTGAAGTCTCTAATTTTTTCAATCCTTTTTTACCTTTATAATTAAGGCTACAATTTTTTTAATCTCACTTGTTAACTTTATAATTAAGGCCCTTAAGTCTTTTAATCTCACTTTCTACCTTTTCTACATTTAATTGAGGCCCTAATTTTTTTAATCCTACTTTTTAACTTTATAATTGAGGCTCTTAAGTTTTTTCAATATCGCTTTCTACCTTTTACCTTTCAATGAGGCCTCTAAGTTTTTTTAATCTCAATTTTTACCTTTATAATTGAAGCCCCTAACTTTTTAATCCCCTTTTTAACTTTATAATTGAGGCCCTTAAGTTTTTTTAATCTCACTTTTTACCTTTATAATTGAGGCCCCTAAGTTTTTTCAATCTCAATTTCTACATTTATAATTGAGGTCCCTAAGTTTTTTCAATCTCGATTATACCTTTATAATTGAGACATCTATTTTTTTTCAATCTCAATTTCCAACTTTATAATTAAGGCCTCTAAGTTTTCAATTTTATAAAATTCTCAATTTCTCATCCGTTTCTCCATCTATCTCGTTATTTCATTTAATTTTGAATTAAATCTAATCATATTTGTCTCTTTTTTTACAAATCACATTTTTCAATTTACCAAATATTCTTCAACTCTTAGTCTTCTCCATTCTCAATATGATGATAACATAATATGTTATTCTTTATTTTTAATTTATTATTCAAAATCAAGCTCCATATCATAATTCATACCCACATTTGATTTTTTTTATTATCTTATTTAAGGTTTTTTCTTAACAAAATAATGAAACTAATGTTTGAAAACGTTTAATAATTTTCTACGATATTAAATTAATTGTTTAAAGTAATAGAATATACTAATATTCGAGACGCCTCTGATTAAAAATACAATTAAACAACTAGAAAAAAATGATAGATACAAAACAATTAACTTTATTTTTCGTGATGAAAGATATATACTATCAACACTAACATAAAAAGTACATAACAATGATGACTCGTTGACAAACTAAAATTATCACAACTCAACCATGACCTATCTTCAGTCATTTATGGTCTATCTTCAGTGATTATGAACATATATTAATGTTTGATCTAAAATTTTTAAAAAATAAATTTATAAGATAATTAAATAAATGTCATATAAAAAGATGACATCAAATTCAATCCCCAGAAAAAACAGAAAATATATACTAAAAAATAAAACAACGTATTATAAAAGACAGTAAAAATATTTGTTATTTTTATTGAAAAGGAAAAACAATAATTGAAATAATAATAATAATAAACTAATTCAAATTATAAAGGAGAGAGAAATAAAAATAAGAATCAATTTAAAACTATGTCATCAGAAGTGATGAAAAGTACAGAAATTTAAAGAAAAAATAAGTTTTTAAATAAATATATTTTTTTATAGATATAATTATAGTTGTAAAAAAATAACACAGTATTATTTAATTAAACCATATGCTTTAAATTATGCTTTAGCTTTTGCTTTATGGTAAACCAAAGCATGTCGCTTTGACCCAACTTGTCTGCCAACTTTTAGAATCTTTGAAAAAAAAATAAGGGTTCGTTTGTTTCACTAAAATATTTTTTAGAAAATATTACGTTAAATAATTACATCTTCTAGAAAATATTTTTTGAAAAATATTTTATAGTGTTTGAAATATGTTGTGTAATCATTTTCACTAGTTGATAAATTTTTAGAAAT